TAGTATGTGCTACCACCATAATGACTAATGTTTGTGAGCCACTCCAGCCCCTTTACTGGAGCCTGGTGGGTCCAGTGCATACTGTAACTACTGTTTATAGGCACTTTCTGGTTCTATTTTCTCTTAGATTGTGAACAGCTTCTTGATCCTGGTCCTGGAAAGAGAGCGACACAGCTGCTTTTCACCTTGTGGCGAGAACTTGTGAGAATTTGGTGCATTCTGTTGCTTGCTGAGAGGAAACCTCACGGTGATCGTGTTGGTGCCTGTTAGGGTCTCTCTCTCATTGTTGACTGTTGTTATCTCTCTTACTCTTCTTCTGTTCTCATCTGTTGTTTAAGTGTAAAAGCTTCACCAAATATAAGGCATAAACTGCCTGTAAGGAAAGTGTGCCCTGAGAAGTATTAACACAATTGGACACTTGCACAGCAGCACACATCCATTGCAAGGAGCACATATGTCATCCTCAGTGTGTCCTGATACTGATCTGCAATCCCTCCTCCCTACTTCCCTCCTGCATCCCATCACCAGGCAGCTCATGACCATCATCAGGCTGCTTCATGGTTAACTTCTTATACATCTTGCTACTTTGTTCCTGGAGATGGAAACTAGTTAGGACAATTTAAACCAGTGTGGATATTCTTCAAAGAACTGAAGATAGAAATTCCACATGGTCCAGCTATTCCCATTCTATGCTTCCTCACAGAACAGCTAATACCATCACACTGCAGCACCATAAGCATATCAATGTGTGTGCAATGTGATTCATAATAGCTAAATCCTAGAAGCAACATGAATACCATAAACATTTGCATGTATTAAGAAAGTGTAGTAGTTATACATAAGGAACTACTAATCACCTTGTAAAGAAGGATAAATTCTAGACAAATGACCATGTCTAACTGACAGTCTTCCGAAGTAAGGACAGGCACATGAAATTGGAATATCCTGTGATAAGTATTATATGGAGAAGTTCTACATCCTGACAGGAATCTGTCTTTCATGTTTTTCTAGATCTTCTCTTGATTCTCTCTCTGACCCAAGAGCTACCTACTGGTCCTGTGTGTCCTGCAGAAATCTTTATTACTGGGCTCAAATGGATGTCCCTTCACTATCTTTTGCATGGTAACATATGACTGTGTCCCAGCATTTCAGGCTGCTCATTTGCAGATGCAGAGTGTCCTCAGCGTTACCTCTGGAGATGATGAAGCATCTTCACCCATTTAGTGTACTATGTGCCACCACCAATTGACACCCATGCTAGCCACTTGCCTGGAGCTGGTGGAATGAGATGATCAGGTAATTACTGCAGGTGAATCCAGGGGCTACACATGAGAGTCTCAGGGGTGTCCCAGGTTGCAACAAGCCTTACCTTCTGGGCTGCACCAGCTGTTCCTCACACTGGAAACCTGAAAACACAGAGACATCTTTTTCAGGAAACTGTCACCCCGTTGAAAGGTGTCTCCTAATCATTTCCACTCACACCTTCGGTATTGCTTGTTCTCCATGAATTATCTTTTAAAACACTAAAGTGGAAAATCTAGCTCATTGTAAACTCCATGGCACCATCTGTGTTCAGTCCTGGTACTGCAGCAGGTACACCTGGTACCTAGGGCTGGGCTCCTCTGCAGAGCTGCAGGGTCTAGGCTGGGCTGGGCCCCCTGCCACAGATACTCCTGTACTGTGGAAGCCTCAGATAGGGAAGGTCCAGTGCACATGAGGATGTTCTGGGAGATATTTTGCAGTATTTTTATGTTAATCAGGATATGATTCCTCATTATGTATTTTTGTTGTGAAAACACTTAGTTTTCTCACAGTTATAGATGTATGAGGTTAGAGGTTCTGCTCAATTTCTGTGATTTTCAGATGTGAATACAGAGCAAGGAGTATGATAGACCTATGAGATGTGAGCTCATGTGTTATAAGAGCATCTTATGGATTTGGGTCTAGAAATCTTCCCACGGTGATGAGTGGGTCCTGAAAACTTATAGGACAGAGAGGTCATACTCAGTAATGTTGCCAAACTTTTTATTCAAATGCCACAATGTGACATGATTTTTCTGTCTTCAAACTTCTGATAATAATTAGGCTACCATGATTCCATCATATATGTGTTACGCAGTATGATGTATCTTGATTTATGATTTATGCCCAGATTTATTTTTCCAGAACAATTATATGTGGAATAAATATTGATTTTAATTATGAATCAATGAGATACATTTTAATGCATTTAATATGTAAAAAATTGATATAATCCACCTTTTAATTTGTCAAAAATTGATATAATCCGCATCGACTAGATAGGTAATGAAGTGGTACCCATTAATTCCCTTGTACTTTTCTACTAACTGTCTTTCCTGTGTCTTCTTGTATGTTGTGTCTTTCTAAACTGAAACATTTAGCCCTCCATGAGACAATAATTCCCCACAGAAATTAGCAGATGAATTGATGGTGATAATCATGATGATTGGATATTCTTAAACACTTCAGTTCTTAAAATCAGTGTTCTTTGCAGTGTAAAAAATCATAATTTTTCTGCACTTATTTTCAGAGAAAGATGAATAAATGCATATGTAATGTAATTGTGTGTGTGTGTGTGTGTGTGTGTGTGTGTGTGTGTGTTGTAATTGATCATCAACAAATCCCCTACATTGTTTGCTGTTTGGAGTGTGGAAACCTTCTGTATAACCTGGAATGGATACATGTTGGTGTGGTGTATGTTCAGTTCACATAATGCTAAACCCCAGGCTTTAGCATTAGGGGAACTCTCAGAGGCAGACCAGAAGCCAGCTCCCCAACTTCGTTCTCTGCACTTTTCCTTTGACACTTCTTGGTTCCCTGTGTATCCAAGGCCCCTCTGCTCCTCTACTGCTTTCCTTTTTTTCCCACAACACCCCCTTTCTTGTCTGAGGTGGTATTAACTTGGCGAATTAATGATGAGTTATCAGCTGGACCTCAGCACTCATCATCCCATCCCTCTGCTCAGTCTCCTTCTCTCTGTGTTGATGGATCTATCCTAAGAGTCACCAGTGAGAGAGTGAACAGACAGGGCCCAGTGAGGAGCAGGGTCTATGAAGGCTTCACTAGGCCAGGTCCTAACACCTGAAGCATGTGCAGGTAGACATCATGTTTTTATGGAAAAAATATAGTCAGTCTATGGACAATTTCTCATTTGCACACCTGCTCCAACTTTAAAACTCATTTGTACTGATTCTAGTTTGAAATTGCATGAACATTGCATTAACTGTGTTGCAGAATTGCTGATTGCAGAGTACTCATCACATTTTGCTCTGTTGTAGCAAGTACGACAGTTTTGCATTATGTGAAAGTTTAATTTTTTGGGAAAATGTAGTGTCCTCCACTGCAGTGCTTTCAGTTAATTTAGATGAGGAATTAAAACATCGATAAGTGGTTTTTGTGTTACATTTTGTTCTCAGCTTCTTTAGAAAATTTTATCAAGTATGTCAATATTTACAATTACATCAACAGTTTTTTATATCACCTATGATAGCAAAGTACTTAAGATAAGCAGATAATACATCCATCAATGATAGGTAGGCACAAGACTATGAAATAGTTAAGATGTGGATGGTCAGAGTGATAGAAAATAGTTAAATTTTGGGTGATACATTCATGAAGGACAGATAATTGTGAAGCAAAAAATAAAAACAAACAACAATGATGAGTATAAATAATAAATTTTAATAGATATATAAATGAAAGGCAAATACATAGAGTTGGTGGGGGAATACAAATATGACAGAGGATAGATGGACAGAATGAAGATGATGGATACAAACACACATAGATCAATGGATGCATGATAAAAGGATGGATAATTTATAAAAGCCTTGCTCTTATTTTTCCATAATACTGAATTCTGTTCAAAATTTAGAAACTGTGAATAAAGGACTGCGTATATACCAGTCTGCAGAGATATGGCCACTGTAATCTGCATTTTAGGGAATCTTTTCAATGCCATTTTCCCATGTCCCCAAATCCTGTGGTCACAAAGCTCACTTTCAATTATTGCACACCAGGCAGGAACCAGAGTCCAGGTTTGTCCCAGCCTTGTCCTCAGGGACACAAGAGAGCACAGTGTGAGCTGGAATCTAGATTCCTCTGTGGGTAGGCCCTGGGCTCCTCTCCAGTCTTGACACTGCTGTGGGCATGTTATTTTTTCATGAATCAATGATCAGATTCCCAGGTCAGCAGTCTTTCCATATATGCTCACAGCAGCTTGCAGAAATGTCCAAATGTTACGGAGAGTAATGTAAATAGAGCAAAATCACTTTGCAATAAAAATAGACACAATATTTAAGACATTCAATAAGAGTTTCATAGACTCACTATTACTAACAATAGGTCTTAATGAATACGGCTGGGGCACTGCCCAATGACTGCAAGGTGTGTGACAGAGTGTTGGTCTCTACAGATGAGATACCCACAGAGGCCCCTCCACAGTGAAATCTACTACAGCTATCCAAGGCATCGCCCTACATCACCAAAGGTGTGGAAATGAACAGCTCCAATAATAGGTGAACACTCAGATCAACATACAGTGATGTCCAGAAATTGAGAGTGAAAGTGTCTCCATGAGAAGAACTGGAACATGCCCTTCAGGATGACAGGTCCTATGGGTGAACGGCAGGCTTGTAGTCAATAGAGAAATATTTTTCAGGATTAAATATTTCTACATCTAAAGCTCTTAAGACAGTGTAATGACTTGTGTTATGAACAAGGGCTCCACTGGAAATACATTGTGCAAACAGCAATGAATTTGATGGGGAATCTAATAAAGGCCTGGTCCCATGAAAGCATAACATTATAGGATCAGCGACATAGAAGGTCGATAGAATCTGTGTTCCTGGGATACTGAAAAAACACTCCAGGCTGTTACTACAGGGCTGAGGTGGTTTCCTAAGTCAGTGAGTGCAGCACGCCCCCTGCTGATCCTAAGTTTCTCCGCAGGCAGGTTTATGTCTGGGCTCACACTTGCATCAAAGCACTGTGTTTCTTGCACAGTAATAGGTGGCTGTGTCTTCTGCGGTGATGGATTTCAACTGCAGGGAGAACTGGTTCTTGCCTGTGTCTCTGGAGATGGAGATGCGGCTCTGGAGGGATGGGTTGTAGCCAGTGCCACCACTGCTACTTATATACCCCATCCACTCCAGGCTCTTTCCTGGAGGCTGACGGATCCAGTTCCAACTATAACCGCTGGTGATGGAGTAGCCAGAGACTGAACAGGTGAGGGACAGAGCCTGATATGGCTTCACCAGGTCAGGTCCCGACTCCTGCAGCTGCACCTGGGACAGGACATCTGGAAACAATAAAAAACATCCTTTCAGTCACATGCTTTGGTAACCTTTCCATGGATCAATGTCTGAAATTGAAGGCACGCACCATGAGGAGCTGACATCAGGCAAAGGAGAAAACCCAGCAGTGTCATGTTTTAGACTGCTTCCTAGGAATCCTCAGCCCTGTCTGTGAATAGAGCTGTATGTTCCACAAACTGCGAGCCCATTATGAATCTAAAGTTAGAGCAGATATTTGCATATGAGGTGCACACTTCCTATATCAAGGGGACACTGAGCTCATGCTATGTCTGCTTCTTTATTGCTACTGAGAGAAACCTCGTATTCTGAATTCTAGCTGGGTTTGAGTCTGTGATAAGTGGGAAGATAAATTTGGAGGCGTGTAAGAAGCAGGGCAATGATGATCCCATCTTCCTGATCCCAAAAATGGATTTCACCTAACCTTACTGCCTTACTGTATTCCAATCTGAGTCTCTTTCCATCCAGGCTCTAGCGCTGGTTTTCAGGACCCAATTGATCACAGCTCCCTCAGTGTCTCCCCCAACTCTTTCCTTTGGTTCCACCCATGCTGGTTGAGAGCTTGCTTGACGGTTATTTCTTTTGTGAAGAGAGGTCTACCTTCCTCATGCTCTAAGACATCCTGTGATCCAAGTCCCACCATAGCAGAGCCAACAGAAACTGGAAATAGGGATGTGAGCACTGTGCTTACCTCACAGAAAAGTTCCTAATCCTCTGGGAAGAGAAGGAGGCCATCTGTGTTAAGGTTTCTCTTTCCAAACCACCTTGTGGAACAACTAAGTCGTCATTGCTTGTAGAGATTAAGATGCTTCTCTTCTTCTCTAGAGATTCTTACTAAATTCACTAAATGTATCACATCATAGTTTCCATTTTTAAACAATTATGTACCATGTGCACCATCCATATTACAAGATCTCTAAACCATAAACCTGAAGAATTGCTAATCATATTGTTTCTGCATTCATTTTATTGGCTGGTTTTTAAAAAAATCACTGTAAAGTACATGCTACAAGATTTCCTTTCTATTCATTAGGTGGCAAAGGCTGGGCTCAAATGTGTGGTGGTCTTCCTGTTTTATCCTCCTGAGGATCAATATTACATGGTTGTGACACCATGCCTGAATAAAACATACATTTCTTTCTTTTGTTTTATGAAAGTTGATTTCTATTACAAGTTCATCTTAAACTAGATCTTATGATTTTCTTTCCTAAGACTTTCATTTTCTGGCAATATGCATACTTATTAGCATTCTTGTTTTGTGACTTCATTCTTTTAGAAATTGAGTGCCCGATGACAGTGACTTATCTTTATTGGCTCCAAATTTCTACTCCACATTTTATATTTACAGAATTTTTGGCAAACCTAACAATGATATTCTCCACGCATGGATACCTGAGGTCATTTTAATGAATTCCTTACATTCAAGATGGACAATTCTCATCACAGTTAAGAGTTTTGAGAACAAGATACTCAGTAATAAGTTTCATGCATCAAAGTCATCAGATCTTGCCTTGTTTCAGCAAATTTTCATGGAAGTCTCTGACGTTTCCTTTCAGAACAACGTGAAGAATATTTACAATGTCATTGCCATATCGAGTTCAGAGCACAACAGACATAGTCAGTGAGGCACTTAAGTCCCTGTCCTTTTTTGCATACACCACTAGGATATGTGCTGTGTCACCATAGGAAATCTCTAGTGATTTCTCTAGGGGAACTACCCAAAGGGTGCAGGAGCTTACACAAATCGTGGCAAGCACTAGTGTTTGTGCCCCATTTAGGCAGACAGTTGTCCATGGGAATGAATGTGGGGATGTGAGTGGGATAAAACCCCAGGGCCTGTTCTCAAGTATAAAGTTAGGAATGTGTTGACCTGGTCAGGTCCTCTGTGGTCAGACTCAACTCCTTGTGTGAGACCTGCTGCTGCGACATCAATTTCTGCTCCTTTCCCGTGTTTTACGTGGAGCCCTGTGTCCTTATAATGCTTTCCCCGGAATCACTCGGGCAATGTTTTTCTAGCTCATTCGTCTCTGCTTCCATTAGTGTTCTGCCTAGAATAGAATAATATTCATAGTATGCAGGAGGATGTATGTTCAGAGTGAATACTTCTATAGGAAAAGGTTACACTGTTTTCACTTCAACAGAACAACAATGGGTCACATACTGCTCTACCACCTTACATGTAAACTTGATTGTTTTTCTTTCAGATTTCTACAGCACAGGGATTGTTTATTAAATTTCCTCTACCTCCAGAGTAACAGGTATAAACAGGAGGTTAAGTACTAGGCACTCTGTTCAGAGCTGTGTCCTCAAAGTGACATGCACTGATTACTTCAAGTTTGCATCTGAGAGATCTGTGCACTACATCAAATTACTCAAGTTTTCTGTGACCATCGGCTATAGGCAATAGATACAAGAAATTATAGAATATGTTCTTTGAGGTAATACTTCCATAATGATTCTAAGGCGAAATTAAAAAATGACAAAGTATTAATACATGTATGTCCTATTCAGGGCCTGAGTCCTACAGCTCTCTTCAGACATGCAATGGTTAGGATCCTCCCCAGGAAACACACATGGCCCATCTACTTTTCTAATGGGAAAGAAAAGATGCTGCTGATGCTGTTGCTGTTGTACCCACCAACCCAGGCTAATGTCACCAGCACAAGTGTAGCCATGGTCAGTGAGGATGACCAGACCTCGGTGTGCTAGTGTAGACCCCGTAGTGCCATGAGGAGAAGACTTTCACCCACTGCCCACTTTGATACACAGCTCTGGATCCCGGATCCTCTCTGCATGGGGTTGATCCTTGCACCAGGCCAAAACAGCATCTGCAGATGCACATAGTTGAGAGTTCACAAATTCAGACAGATGCCGTTCATGGCTCGTGAAATAGTTTGTCTCGCTATTTGTTTAAAGAAAGTGTACTTGAACATACATGACTGATTTAAGTCTTCTTACAGTTTGAATAAGTTTAAAAAGACAGCAGTTTCCCCAATGCACGTGCTGTTGGAGGGAGTGTCTGCATGGTTTCTACCAAGTGTTAATCATGACCACAAGGGAATGTGGACAGGAGCAGATGGACTGGGTCCCACAGTCTCTCTGGTGAAGAGCAGAATAAAGAGGAGGACTCAGCGAGAGAGGAAGAAAGTAGGGAGAGTTTGGGGATGACAGGGAAGATGCCCCTAAATAAGCAGGTTCCCTTTTGTGACCTTGGTGTTCCATTCAGTAAACATGTTTCATTTATAGCTTGACTACCTTAGGAAGTCAACAAGTTACTAAGTTTCCTTTCTTTTAAGTTGATTCCTCCCATGGTGTTCTGGTTTCCATATCTGTGTAATTAGAGATGAATTCTACTTTGTGGGGGACATTCTAATTTGTGGGGGACATTTTTCCCCGTTGTATTATTCTTACACATCTATGCATGATTTCCATATTAGTGTATCACTGAAACTTGGCAGTAAGTTTCAACTTTATATTTGGTTTCTGAGCTGATTGTTTGCCTCAGAAATGTATCATGTGTTAGAGCTTTTGCTTTATGCTTTACAATGACACTTTGCAGAAATTTTACCCATGTACAGTTAGATAAAATTTTAAGTATTCATTTGAATGAGATTTTCAGTATTAAATCATTTGTGACTCTCTCATGAACATACTTATGTGTATTTTTAAACTATCTGTATTTTAAAGTATCATAAAAACACTTCATTTTATTTATCTCCATCTGTAAATTCATTACTGCAAGTGATATTTCTCAGTTTTGACTTGGTAATTCATACCCCATAGACCTGGACATTGTAAAAGTATTTTCTGGATATAATGATTTGAAAAAGGTGGATATTTTATGTCTCTAGGATCATATGGGAGGGATTTCTTTTATGTCTATGAGTATGTGTTTTAAGAAATGTTAATGTAATCATGAAGATATAAATTTTATCATCTTTATGGATGAAGAATATTTCATGTGTAGACATAAATTACCTGATGCTCCTCCATCAATTGGTACAGTTTTAGATAGTTTGAAAGTTATGTTTACCATGGCGAATTTTTATGAGTCTCAGCTTGGAATATTTTGTGTATACTCAGAATTTGAAAATTCTATGTAAATACACAATGATAAAATCATATGAGAAATTCATTGTGTTTATATGAAAAGATACTAAACTAGTAGACGAACTAAGATATCACTTTCACCATCACTTTCAAGGACTCTATTAATTCCACTTCCAAAATAGTTTGTGTATTTCCTGTAATTTGTATCCCAAACTTAGAAAGTGGCATAAAATGTAAACAACTGAAATTATTTCACTAAGCACTGAATTTAGATAAAAACCTCTCTATTTTAAGAATCTTGTACTCTGTTTTACATCATGTGCTATGTCTATCCTTGGTTTTGACTGACAGCTTTGTTTTGCCATATTTGACTTTATTCTCCCCCCCCCAAAAGTAATAAGCACTAAGGAGTAATAAAATCCAAAATGTGTAAATTTTGTTGTAAAAAAGAGAGGGGGAAAAAGAGCTCTAACGGATATAACAGCAAGTGTGTTTAGGGGTGTTAAATAGCTGACTATATTAATGTTTTTGGATCATTGAACACAGCTGTTTGCAGTCTCACTGTTTGAATGTCCACTTTGTATTCTTTGATACTGTGATTTGAGCAACTATTTCTAAGATGATAATATGTAATCTATTAACAGGTGATTTCTTACTGTTTTTTTTTTTTTTTTTGTAGTTTTGTATTACGTGTACCCTTACACCGCTTTGTTTTGTTTTGTGTTTTTCTCTTTTTCCTTTTAAATAAAATTTAAAAAAAAGAATCTTACAGAAATTTTGCAGAAATGGCAAACCCTCAGAGGCAGAAATGGATCTGTACTCCCTTGATGGGGTCAGGGAGTAGGCTGTTCAAGAATGAACAGGGAGAGCTGTACATGGCTGGTGTCCCTTTGGCATTGAGAAAATTGATTTATAATGATTTTGCACTGATTGTTGCAGTTTTTAATAGCATATACTCACTAACAATGATCTTCTTAATTTCAGATTGGGGATGTTGTTAATACATACATTAGTTCAACAATTTTGCAAGTGATTAACACATTTATAGTTATAAAATGTTATTAGCCTAACATCCATGTAGAATATGTAATGAAAAACTCTCAGCCCCATTATTATTAT